AGATTACACAGAGTGGGAAGTTGTAATTTTTGTGTGCAGGAAGGTGGTTCACCGGTTGTTCGAAAGAACGTAATCACCGGGGGGCATACGGGCGGTATTGCCATCATCGCTGAGGGAAAGGGCGTCATCGAACACAATGTTATCAGTGACAATGCGATGGGGAATGTCATCCTCTTGGACCGCTTTACTGAGCCAGTGATTGCACACAACACCATCTCAAATTCCTCCACTGGCTGTGGAATTATTTGTGGTCGAGAGGCCGGTGGAGAGTTTTTCCACAACAATATTTTTAAGAATAAACAATGTGGCGCGTACGTTATTGGAAAGGCCAATCCACTGTTTTCGAGCAATACCATCACATATGAATCGACTGGAGTTATTATATCAGATAGTGGACGAGGGATATTTAAACAAAACAATATTCACTCTAGCTACGGTTCTGGTATCATCATTCAGTTAGGTGGCAATCCATTCATTGAAGGGAACAGTGTCTCCAAGTGTTTTCTCAGCGGTATTTTGGTGTCAGCAGGGAGCAGTGGGACGGTTTCTGAAAACGAATTTTCTGAAAATGATGTAGGCGTGCAGCTGGGTTCCACCTTGGGCACTGCAACGCTTGAAATTGAGGCGAACCTCCTCAGTAGCACGCCTGCGTCACCGACATCGAAAAGCAACGTAAAAATTGGAAAATTGAAACCACGACGTTCATTTGGTCTCAAGAAAGATGGCGAAAATATAAACGAACCGTCTCAGTTAACCCCAACGACTATACGGCGGAACAGAATCTTCTCGAACACAACATGTGGGGTACTACTGGAGAATGCGGCCTATGGGATATTAGAAGAAAATGATATTGAATTGAATGAGAAGTATGGTGTAATGGCAGATGTCGGCTACAGTGCGAAGCGAGTGAAGGACAAACTAGGCAAGGTCCTTGGATACGGCGGCTGGAAGTTGCCGAATTTGTCACTGACTGGTGGATCTGCCATTATTCGCAAAAACCGCATCTTCAATCACAAAAAATGCAATATCTCTATTCTCAATCATGCGGAGAATAGTATTATCATCAGTGCAAATGATGTGTTTGAGGCTCCAACAGGAATTTATGTGGGAAATGACGCCTCAATTCATTCCATAGAGGGTAATACGATCTACAGGACATTTGATGGCGTCTACGCGGATAGTGGTGGCCATGGGTGCTTTGAGAACAACAAGATTTACGACTGCGATGGTGTTGGGGTGTATGTATGCAATCGTGGGAATCCTCAATTTAAGAAGGGGAATGTCATTGAAAATTGTTCTGTTAGCGGTGCTTTTGTTGATGCCGGAGGAAGAGGATTATTTTCGCAGACAACTATACGTCACTGTGTTGTGGGTGTTGTGGTATACACATGTCTACCCGTTTCGTCGCTTGTTCAGGAGGGGGAATTTATGCAAAGTAGGTTTGTAACTTCGGCGCCCGTGTTTCAACAGTGTGATATTGAGGAGAATGCACTGTATGGTGTCTTGGTTCTCACTGTTCCGACAAGTTTTCCACTACGCCACATCTCACGCAGTGGTGTTGGACACGCCTCGAAGACCGAGGGACTTATGAAGACACCAGGATTATCCGTCTTCCCACAGTTCCATCAAAATAGGATTCGGAACAATTGTCACTTTGGCGTTTGTCATGAAATGTATGATTCTCCGGAGTTGCAGGATGAGACGGAAAATTTATCTCTCCATGAAGAAAATTCGCCCGAGACCAAACGTTCATCAACGCGCTCTAATCTTCAAAATCATATTCAGCGGCGGCTGAGTACTTCAATGCAATGTCGTTTTGCTGCCCGTGGTTCCATGCAGGAGGCTTTAGGGACATCTAAAGTTTTTTCGACAGATGAACACCACAAGGAGCGGATGCAGCATCAAGTAAGTTTTGTTGAAAACACCATTAGCAATTGTTCTATTGGTGTTGTGGTTGGTGGTAACTGTCATCCCTTTTTCCTTCGTAATCGAATAATTAACAATGCTTTCTTTGGAATGTTCTTACGATCCCAGGCCAAGGCAATGTGTTTTGGCTGTGAAGTCATGGACAACGGCGTGGCAGGTCTTTACGTTTCACAAGGCTCTCTTGGTGCATTCACTGGGGGAACGATTCGTCGCAATAATGGATTTTGTCGCCCAGATGGAAACCCACATGATCCGCGCTCTTTTGGCACCCTTTCGTTTATGCAGTCAACTCTCGCAGTTTTGAGCGTTCCCAATACAAGTAGTAGACCCCCACACGGTGCGTTTAGTTCCATTCTACGTGGGTTGGAGAGTTATGCAAATATAGCGGCTGAAGGTCTGCTTATATTGTGTGAACTTGTGGCTGCCTCTTCGGTGGGTCTCTCTCTCGCTTCTGGCATGTGTCCCATTGTCTCGGGCGAGTCCGGTATGTCATATGGTTCTGGGCTGCAAATGGACAAGTACGATCGAGGATGGGCTGCCGATGGTGGTATGGGTGTGTGGCTTGTGCAGGGGAGCATGATGGAAATCAGCGATAGCTTGATTGACACCAATCGCAACGTCGGAGTTTTTTATTCGCGCAATTTACAACAACATTACATGAATCTGTCACAGTTCCCTGTGAAGCCCGCTGGTGGGTTTCCGAGATTTCCAGGTGGCGAGGTGATCTCTGGCGAAGCAAGGAGCCCGCGGAAAGGGGCAATGCGGTGGGTTTTCTTTACCGCCAACGCTATCCATGATGAAGGCTACCTCATGCAAATGAGTACATCCGTTTTTGGCGAAGGAAGCTTCACAGAGAGTTGGCGTGTATTTACACCGCCGCAAACTCCCCGTATGTCAAAGCAGACTGAAGCGCCCGTTTATGAGGGAGATCGTCCATATATGTTGAATCGTCCAGCGCTTGTTTCTGGCAATCGTATCGTCAAGAACGGTTATGGAGTTGTCATACATTTGCATCATGTTATGAGGGCAAATTTCTCCGGCGAGACGGATACTGCGGCAAAGGAGACAACGGAGATACCCGAACCAAGCCATGGGAGAAGAGCCAACGCTGCTAAGAAACATGGCCGTCGGTCGAATAATAAGGCCGCAGACAATGATTTACCAAGAAATAGAGAAGGAAAAACCTTGCGTGTTTCAAGGCTGAAAAAACAAGATGAGGAAGAAAACAATTCTTCTCATGAACCAACGACAGAGAAACCCGTTTACCCAATGATGTCAATGAATGCATTCTCTAGAGAAGAAGATTTTTCCATTAATATAGAAGAAAATCATGTTTATGAAAACTGTGGTGTTGGAATACTTTGTTTACACATCGTTGAAGCTGTGTGTGGCACTCATGTGAAATCACGTCTGGAATTAGATGGGGCAGCTGCAGAGTACAATGATGTATGCGTTAAAGTGACGCTCAAAAGAATGTTAAAACAACCAAAATTGAAATTTTCACTCGTACCTTATGAGCGTATGACACGTTATGCAAAAATTTATAGTAATGAGGTGTATAAGAACGTTGCGGAACAACTCGAGGTGACTTCTCGGTATGTCGCTATCTCTCAAAATTGTGTGCGAACCCTACTGCAGATTGATACGTTGCGTCAACCAAGTGCGTCTATGGCCTCTTCGCAAGCGCTACTAAGGATTCCACTTTTTGCCTCTTTGCTGTCCGCTGCACCGCCTGGTAGGTTTGTGATTGAAAGCAATCGCTTTCGGGATAGTACAAAGGGAGTACATGTTTTTGGTTTTGTGGGTGGAAACTCTCTTCTTTTACGCAGCAATGCCTTTGTCAACATGAGGGGAACAGCTATTCTTATTCAAGGACACCTCGCCTCCGCAACCATTGGAGGTGGAAATGTGTTTGAAGCGAACGACGTTGCTATTCGTATTGTGTTGCCTGAAGATTCTCTCACAAAGGAAGATGTTGCATGGATGCAAGCCATGGGTGTTAACACACGTATCCATTCCAATCATTTCTGCGCCCCAAAACAGTTGTCTGTGACTCTCGAAGGTGGTGGTGCACCATCTCCGGTCTTTGAAGGCAATAAATTCACTCTCCATATGAGTGGTTCGGTGGCGTTCTTTATTTCAGGTCCCAATGCTCACACACAGCTGAGAAGGAACGTGTTTTTAGAGAATTATATTCCTGTCATTATCACAAATGAGGCAGGCACGAGCGACGAAGGCACAAGTGTTATTCTGGAGGGAAATCGATTTGCCAGGAATTTTATTGGGCTTTTAGTTGCAGGTGGCGCGGCTCCAAAACTTCTACGCAACGTATTTGAAGAGAACTATCGGACGGGTTTAGAAATTATAGATGAAAACACGAGGCCAACGGTTCAACATTGCTTCTTTGTGTCAAATAAATTTTCCGAGGTTCAACCATTCAATGAGGAGGTATTGCTGTTTCCTGAGCATGGCAAAATTTGCGTGGATGCAGGTTTAGAAGGCATAAGTTTTGATTTTGTGGCGACCATTGTACCAGATAACACTGCAGCGTCGGATGCAAAGATGAGGCTGCCGTCTGGACTTCTCATCAGTGGAAGAGGGGAAAGCAGTGTCATACACGAATGTCTATTTCAAGATAATGATATAGGTGTTGATGTTGTGCGTAGTGCTGCCCTTCCTGGGGCGATGAAGGCGTCGTCTTGTGGCATTCAGTTGACCTCTTGTCTTTTCGGTCTGAATAAAGTGGCGGGGGTGTGGATACGTGGTGAGGAGGACCCAAATGGAAAACGCGCTCTTCCCTCCTTTAACATGAGCGGAAGTGAAATTGAACACGACGCGACTGTCTTTGACAGCTGTTTCTTTGTAAATAACACAACCGATGCTGAGGGGAAGGGTGACGTTGTGGCCCTGGACGGTGGGTTTGCGATAGTACGGGGAAGTTTATTTACAGGCTCAGTCCATGGCAAAAAGGACGGCATGGCGCTTTTTGAGCGAAATCTATTCTACGCGGAGGATGCGGATGCGGCTGTGTATCTACACAAGTCTGCACGCATACGACTTGTAGGAAACACAATTCGCGGTCACAAGAATGGCATCGTGACGTATCCCGCTGCATGGGGTCATGTGGAGAAGAACTGGATCTTGGATACCACTCGAAGCGTTTCTGCTGCCCCATTTTGCCACACTTTTTTTGTCCGTAATCGCATAGTAAAGGCGAAAGACTGTGGTATTTTGGCATACGGTGGGGTCTTCACGGAAAATGAAGTCTGCTTTGCCCCGACAGGTGTCATTGTGCAGAATCCGGTGGAGTATAAAAATTATAGTGAAATACCAAAAGCGGAAAAGACGGCGTTTGATGCATTGATTTCGGAAAATCGTGTACACTCGTGTGAAGTTGAGGGCATTTTGGTCGCTGGTGGTGCTCGTATTGAGGGGAATTGTGTATTCAACTGCAAGACGAACATGAATATTATTTGTCCCCAAAACGCAGGCGGTGGATCCGGAATTGCTGTTGTATCAAAAAATGCCCTGTACGATGGGGAGGTTGGCCTTCTGGTTGCGAAGGGTTCGGAGTCCGTCATTCGGGTGAATGACATCTTCGATAACAGTACATTGGGAGTGTGGGTGAAAGCAGGGGCTCTGGGAACGCTTCAGGGAAATGCCATTTCCAGCTCTTTGGGGGATAGTGCCTTTGATGCAGAGCCGGGGGCGGAGATAAAGATGCTGCAAAACAACATACGAAACCAATTCTCTCCATCTTATCATAAAACGCTTCCTACACATCGTGAGAAGGAACGGCAAAAAGCAGCTGAAACCATGACTGAGGAAATACGTGAGTTGGATCGTACTTTTCAGAAGATGTTCTCACTGTGCAATAGCGTAGAAGTGGTCTTGCAAGCGACATTAGAGACGTTGAGGAGAGAATCCGCTAACATGGACGGTGTGAGGCCTTTGAGTACCACGACGAATTTCGTTCTAACTTCGAAGTTTTTGCGCGGTTACACTCAGACACAGAACATTGTTGAGGTTCTCAGTCTAGCCAGTACAAGGGGAGCCAGGTATTCTGCCAAAGAGCGGAAGTCGTCCTTGTCTGCGGCAAAGGCATCAAGGTCTGTGGATCGACGAATAAGCCAATCCACTTCACTGGTGCCAAATGAACAGTATCGGCATGTTCTTATCCACGTTTGCGATACGGACAAGGAGACCGTGGAAAGCACACAAATTGGCAAGGAGGTGGAGGCCGTTTTCACTTCGGAGTCTCTGTCTTCACGTGTCATGTTTCGCGCCGCACTCACAACTAATCCCAGTAGTTTTCATGCATCCATTACAGCTCAAATGCCCGATGTAATAATTGTTGTTGTGGGTGCGAGCAAGAAGGCATTTGATACGGAGGAGTTGGCCGTATTTTCAGTCATTGACCGCTTACGCCGTGCGCCCGCTGGAAGACGGCAAAGGAAAAAAAACAGCGTCTTATTAGTCTCTACAATTCTTTCAGTGGAGTGGAAAGAAAATATTGAGGGAAATGCATCTTCAAGTAAAAGTGTAGAAAAATTGACAGGACTGGAATTTTTTGCCGCCGCGAACAACCCAATTTATTTTAAATTTTCTGTTGCTGAGGCATTCACAGAACTGATACAGCGCCTGAAATCACATGTCTTCTCCCCATCGACTTCCACGCATGATTTGGACGTCAGTACATCAAGGAATGAAGGCACGGTTGTCAAGCCCGCAAGAGGGGAGCAGTTCCTGTCATCCCCACTCAGCCAATTCGGGTCGATCTCTTTTTCGTCACCGAAACTTCCTTCTACGCGACCCCCCCTTCGTGCCTCATTGAATGTCCGTGCGGAGAAATGACATTTACTCCAGTGGCAAGAAGAGGAAGAAAAAGAAAAAATAAATTTGCATATACACCTATATACGTGCCTATATAAATATATCTATCATATATTTATTGTATTGTTTTTGAGAAGAAGAACGATCTCTGGTTTTTGGTCAGTCCGAGTGGTGCAATTCCGGCACACATATTTTTGTACCAATTTTGAAGCCTCTTCCCTGGGGAGGATTAAAACGGGATTTCCAACGCATGGTAGAGTCGGATCTTTTTCTTTCTTTCTTTTTTTTTTCTTGATTTTAGTTCATTTATCCACTACTTCTTTATTTTGCAGTTCAACATTCTTTTTAATCCATCGTTTTTTTTTTGTTGTTGTTGTTTTTTCCTTCTCTTTGCCCTTCCTCGTTATATATATATGTGTATATGCATACCTTTTATGGACTGTTTCTTGTCTCTAAAGACAGGGTACGCATATCGCATCCCATATATATATATATATATATATATATATATATATATATATATAAGGCCTTGCTGCAGCTGCTTTTTTTTTTTCTCTCCACAATTTCTGTTACATTTCTTTAGGACCTTTTGAATTCGTTGTCATTTTTGTCTGTTTTTTATTTATTTATTTTTATTTTTATTTTATTTTATTTATCTTGTGTGTGTGTGTGTTTGTTACTTTTTTTTGCTTTTTCTTGTTTTTCTAGGAGCTTGTGAAGAGGAATGATCGCGGGAGAGCTGGCTAACTTCATTGATGCAAGTGTATATCCTGATAAGTGAATGCATTCTTTATGATACTTTCTACCGTATGTATCTTTTGGGAAGAACGCGACTTTGTAGGGGCAGGGAACCGATAGAGGCCAGATAATTTTATTTTTATTTTGCCATCGCACCCTAACCCCCTTTGGGATTCCCACCACGCGGCGGGGTCTTGTGGCTGGAGGACCCCAAATTCTGCCACTTCGTAAGTAATTATATTCTGAGGACAAAAGACCATGCGAGTGGTCAATATAATTTATATATTGAATGAAAGGAAAACATGGAAGGAATGAACTAACTCTGCGAAAATCCCCTTTTCCCCTACTTTGTTTTTGGTTTCTTTAGATTATTTCAGGATCCGGCCAGCGGCCCAGAACATTATTCTCACCTTTTTTCCCCCTTTTTTTCTGCTTTTGCCTGTATGTTATGATGTGTTTTTAATTGCTGGTTGGTCAAGTTTGGTCAGTCAGTGGGATGTAAAAAGAATAAGTGGCTGCAACTCGAGGGTAATGTAAATAGGAAGATGCATTCTACGTACGGGATTGTTTTTTATTCCAAGCGCGCCAGCCGTCTTCTTTTAATGCGACAGTGTTTGTGTGTGTGTGTGTGTTTCTCTCCCTTTGTTGTTTTTCAATTTTCACTGCAATATTTGTATAATAATAATATTTATTATTATTATTATTACTTTTGGCTTTTTTGCTTTTTTTTTATTATTTTTTTGGATTCTGCACGCTATCCGCCTTTGTTTTTGTTGCTATGTGAACAACACCCAGAAGAGTGGTATCACGTCGCAAGGGAAGGGTCAGGCATTGGCTGGCGATGGTGGTATGATGGCGCTGGATGACATGGTTGCTCCGTTTAGGGAGGAATTCACCGACCGTAGCTGCAGGGATGAGAGAAATCGACACCGTTTTTTCTTCTTGAATGGTATTCTCTGCCGTACGGAGAACTCGGACGGTTCGTTTCGCCCCGCCGATGTTTTTGTCGGGCGTGACCCTCCTCCACGAGGAACGGCGATGCTCGGCGAGGCATCGCGAATATTTGACGATTCGGCTGTCGCCCCTTCTTTTGCTGATGTGGATAGAGATTGTTCCATTTTTAATACCTTTGGAGTTTTTTCAGGTGGTGTTCTTATTGATCCCAACACTCGGTGCTTCGTAGACTTTGTGGACGACATTGTGGTGACACCAACTCTTTGTAAAGAGGAGGCCAATGGTAACGTACCCCACTACAAGTCTCTTGAGTATGCCAAAATTCGAGGAGAAGGTGTCATGTGTTTATGCTCCTCGATTGAGCCACTGAACGTGGCGGGGAAAAGGGACACACCTCTCTCCTGGCCACGTTCGATGCGACTTACGGGATCAGCTGAGGCACGTTTTTTGGCCTTGCGCAATGTCGACCGCATTCTGCGACGATGCCTCACGGAGGTCTCGGCAAATCGAAAAATGTTCAGACTTGTAGAGGGCTATCGCTGCCACATTAAGAGTAAACGTCCTCCGCAGAGTTTTATGACACAAAATATTCCATTTATCTTCCAATATGGTGGCAGGCCATTTCTTCTTCAGGATGACAGTGACGAGAAGGAGGAAAACCGCTCTTTTCCCACCCCAGGACCCCTCTTCTCGGAGTTCCACGCGTTTACAGGCCTTCCCAAAATGGTGCGCATGAAAACTGGAGAAGTTGACACGTATAATCATGGAGTTGAGTTTGGCTTACGTTTAGAAAAGCGACTGCAGTCAATGTTGAAGCCGCTTCGCAAAAATCTCTTCATTGGAAGGCGAGTATTGCGTGATAAGTCAATGACAAGGATGAGAAAGTATTGGTACACTTTCTGGCGTTACTTTAAAATTTTCCGTGTTTACCCCGCCCCCTCGCCCAATGCAGACGGTCGCAGCGAGTGGCACCTTGCCGATGATCGACACGTCAATTACGAGAAGGCCGTGTTGGAGTTTGAGGAGGCGAGAAGAAAGTATGGAAATTCAGAGTGGGACCGCACCGCCGTTGTTGACGCCTGGGACTGGCTGATCGTGCACGAACGCCATTCTTTCCTTCGACGTCTTGCAAAGGTGGAAAGATGCTTGGATAAAATTCAGCTGTAATTTTTTTTTTTTTTATGTGTGTGTGTGTGTTGGGGGGAAGAAACGCGTTTCCTAACACAATTATGCAGTTGAAGAAAAAAAAAAAATGGAGCGAGAAGAAAGAGGATAAAACATAAATCATAAAAGCGAATGATAGCAATAAGCGAATAAGTAGTCCCGTTTTTGTTTTTTTTTTTTTATCTTTACTTTTGTTTTTGCTTTTCTTACTATTTATGCCGACGCATGTATAGTGACACGGAAATAAAGGCAATAAAAAGAGAGAAAGATTAGAAAAAAGAAAAAAAAAAGGTGTGATGCATACACTTGCGGCGTTTTTCTTTGCATTTTCTGCGAGTCCAGCGTTATGGTTTGTTTCTTCTATGGTGTTGATGGTAATAATGCCAACCAGGTTGAACGTATGAGGCTTCTGCCGTGAGTTGTTGTGCATTCTGGTCCCTGTAGACTTTCTCTTGTCAATACCCATTATCACACTATCTCCAAGAAGAAGAGGAAGAGGCACAGCATTTACAGTGGTACAACTTTGGAAAGAATAGAAGAAGACGTTGATTTTGGAGTGTGTGTGCATGTGTAATGTTGCGGCGGTGTTGGATTTTTTATTGCCCTATCCAGTACACCACCCTCTCTTCTACCGCCGGAAAGCTTAACGAAATATTGGATTTGCGAGTGCAAAAGACGCCTGTGCATAGTGAAGTTCTCAAACAGTTTATTCGAACAGAGGTCATGCCTCTTCTTGCCGGAACTTCTGTAGACAGGCGTCACGACAGTTCCGAATTGCGTCGGTTTATGGGTCAGCTGCTTCGTGACTCTGCCTTTGCAGCTGTTGTCTTACGTGCTCGCCCTGGTGGAGCCTACGTCAATACCATTGTGGACTGTATTAAGCACGACCACGAACGCATGCAGTTTATTAACAAAATGACATCCAATCAAGCTAGTCGTATCATTGAACACTTATGTCGTGTTGGTGTTAATGATTCAGCCGTGTATGCCCCATTGGCTGCTCGTTTAGACTTTTGTGTACTCAAAGAGGTGGGACGGGCAATGTTTTCGTTGGCAGAAGAGAGAATGCACCAGGAAGTGGTATCATTCATCGTGCCCCTATATTGTGGAGAGACATGGGAACTTACCTTTGATGGAGGTGTGGGATACACAAATCAATGGAACAAAAATTGCAACGTTTTTGACGCCGTGCGTGTATTACGTGTGTTATCTAAATCCGTTCGAGGCGTGGTAGAGCAGCAGCGTTTTGACGCGGCAAAGGGTACAATTTACCCTCTCCCAGTAGAGAGCATTCATCAGTTAAGAACCAATTTGACGGTGTTTATTATTCAGAACAGTGAAATTCTCCGTGGGGGCCATTGGATCAACTTCACTCGCGCCATGGTGCACTTCCCCACGGAGTTTAAGACAATGAAGTATCTAGAACGACATCCTTCAGTGCTGCAGGCTGTAGATTCGCAGAATCTCCCCCGTCGGGCATCGAGACTGGGGTTGTCGGAGACCGTAGATACGGATGACATGGCAGCACTAGGATTACATTACGTCTTTGCACCTGTTGAACAACAAGAAAAGGTAAAGAAAAAAAAGCTTCAGCAGCCCACCGCAGATGGCAGTGAAAAGGAAAACGAGGGTCGCTTTGACGTCCCATCCATTGATCTCACGAAGCTCCTTCCCATCATAGAAGATGTACCTCTTCCGAAGGCCGTTCAGCAACGCCGTCTCCAACTTGTCATGCGGGCAATTATGAATGACATGGATACGCTTCATTTTACCGATCTTGTGCGGTTTATTCAGGCCCTTCGTCGAATGGAAGGTTCTTCCGAGTTTTCGTCGTCGTTGAACGCTGCAATTTCGGCCGTCAGTCGAATTCTCGACAATGGCTCAAAAAACACCACTGTATACATTCCGTATGATCGTCTTGTGAATTTGGCAAACCTTCTCACCGCTTTTCGTTTGAAGAGCTGTAAGGGTTTTGTAAATTACCTTTTTTGCTTTCTCCCCACGGTGGACTCCGTGACTGTGGATGAGGCTACTTCGTTAATGAACGCTTTGGCTGCTGTTGCTGAATTGGATGGAGTGGAACGTTGTGTTCGTGTTGGAGAACAAATTTTGGATAAGGTGGGGCACAATTTTGATGGCGTCACTCTCCCTTTGGTTTTATCTCATCCTCTACAGTGTGCAAAGCTTTTACGTGCTACCGTGCTTTTAGGCGCGGCACCATCATCTGATGCTATAAAGCGCATATTTGGTGACACGAATGAAGGGTTAAAAGTGTCGTCAAACCTTCGGGAGGCTGGCGCTTCGGTACTTTTTGATGTGGCCCGTTCACTCTATCACTTTTCACGCTTGAAAACAACAGAGACCAGTTGGGCGGAAACCGTGTGGTCAAAAGGCATAGTGGGTGCTTTGATCCCGCTCTTAACGCAGCTAACATCTGAATTTCATCAGGAAGTTCTCTCCTCTAGGGAAAACGGCCGAAGTTCCACCTCATACATTCCTCTCGCGTGGCGCAGCTCAATGGAGGCAGTGTTTCCGTGGGTGGATGTGAATCTGGACACAGTTTCTTTGACGACGATGCAGCAACGCATTGAAGAGGTATATCCGTTTTTACGCCAAATTGCGATGATGGCTGTATGTATTGCAGAGGCGCAACGAAAGTCTCTTGCGAAAAAAAATCCTGTGGCTGAGCCGCTTGTTTTCTCGTCCAATGCAGTTGTTCACATGCTGTTCTTTCTGTTAATGTTTGAGCATATATTGTATCACGGTACATGGCAGGCGGAGATAGACAGCGGTGCGGCGTCCGCGAATGGTGTAAAAGAAAAGATGCAGAAAATGAAGGAGGACTATATCACAATTCTCTCGACTACGGTGTGCAAGGATGAGGAAGGAAACGGAGTGACAGCCCTTTCGCTAATTGACCATTTATTCTCGCCTGAGAGCGGGCGCGACCAGTCGCACTCCGTGCTAGACCGCAGCAGTATTCTTGAGATCACCACAAATCTTCCATTTTCCGTCTCACTTGTGGTGAGTCAAGGGCCCATTAATGAATTGTTCTGTGAGCGGGCTGTGGCGGCCGTAATTAGCGTTAATGATTGAAAAGGACACGTGGCTTTCAAAAAGGAAGGGGGAAGAGGAATGAAAACGGAATTTTAAAAAAGAGAGTTTGAGGGAAATGAGGAAGGGCGGTGGGGTGCAGCGTGAAGGTGAAGAAGAGGGTCATGCCTTTGTGACTTTTTTTCAGTTTCATGTGGAGTGGCGGAGAAGCGAAAGAGTTTTTGACTTTGTCTGGCAGATGGGGTTGATTGCAGCTAGAATGGAAGAAGCCCCTCACAAAAAAAAAAAAAAAAAAAACACGTAATAAAATTTAAAAAAGATGGGAAGGATGATATATCATACGGTGTGGGTCCATTCAATGTATTTTAACTTCAAATTCTCTGGGGCTGCAGCTGGCTAATGCATTTTTTGACTTGCTGCTGCTCTCCTGTTGGCCTGTATTCCCAAACACCGCTAATACATAGAAGGGTAGCATTTGTATTTCATCCCCCCCGCGTTGTGTATGTGGCCGGACCAGTGTTTTTTTGTCCTGGTTTTGTCCCTTGTCTGATTGCTTTGTGACGCACAAGGTGGAAGTTTGATGTCGTATTGGGCGACGTCCGAAGGCCGGGCATTGAGTGCTGGTCATACAAGCCGTCTATCGTGGTGTATGCGGTCAGGTGCAATGGCGATTTCGCGCTCAGCCATGACGCAAACGGAGTTATTGCGCGACCGAATTGTCGATGTTGGCGAAGGGGTAGTGGCAAACTTCTTTGAGCAACTCTTGGCGCGGCTGGAACAGCATGGAATTCGACGATGCCTTCATGACGATAAGGAAACTTATGAGGACGGAACGAATAATGGTGACAAGAATCTTCATCATAGCATTTCCCTTTCGGATGAATGCTCCATGGCTTCGTCCTTACGGCCGTCCGTCAAACAACGAATGGAGGACGCACGGGAACCGTACTACTACGTGTGTGTTCCATGTGAACTGCAACTGACAGAAACTTCGACATCTGCTGCTACTCTCGCAATGCTCCAAGATGTACATTACCATTGCTCTTCTGCCGAACATCGTAGGATTGCGTCGTGGATGGGCGAACCTGACATTGACCGTACCCTACAAAACTCGGCGAAGATAGATCCGACGGGGTATGCTTGGATTCATGTGAATGGCATTCCTATGCTGATTCCTAGACGCCCGGGAGGAGGGGATATGTTTTTTCCGCTTCCTCATGAAGCGCACGATCAAGAGCGAATTGCACCTTCAGGAATGGATGGACTGTTGTTTGCCACCCAACAGCATACAGAAGTCTGGAACCGTCCTTTACGGTCGATATATACTGGAACGAAACAGTTTTTGTATAGTGTCGATAATAATCGAAGAATATGCAAAAAGAAATGGAAAACACTAAAACGGCGTCGGAATCGCTTTGTTTTACAACATATCCCTTTGGATGTGTACACGACAGGTACCTTTGTCGGGGACGCAACGGTGCCGGCGCTCTTTGAGATCACTCAGCAACGCTTGCCAAAGAAGGCTCAATATGGCGCAGAAACCACGGGGTATCGAATGAAATATGTTGTTTCCGATAAGCCTTGTATGGTTTGGAACGATGCCATGGAAACTGGATTGAGTTCTTTTGTTGTACGAAATAACGGCATTTATCGTGTTTCTTTGCTGTGTGCAGGTGATGCGGCAAAATGGGCGTCTCAAGGACCTCCACCAGCTGGTTCAACTCAGGACGCCCACACAGGTGGTGAAGGCCACAGTCAGATGCTAACAGTCGAGGCACTCATTCAACTTCGCGCAGCATCGACGGTTGGCCGGAATTTTCACGTTTTGAGTACCTCAGAATTGGACGCAAGTGATTCACTTACTCACTCAGAGGTTACCTCTTATGTGAGCAGCTGATGATCCATGTGTGTATACGCGTGCATCCATATAACTTTTTTTGTTGTTGTTCTTCTGCCCTCTTTTTCAATTATTATTTTTATTATTTTTATTTTTTTCGGGGGCGTGTGGCAAATAATGGAAGGCTAAAGGAGAGTTAAATAAAAATGATACTTTTACGAATGTGTAATTGGACGCGGGGGCAGCATGAGTAACTGTTGAAAGCAAATAAAAAGCGGAACGAGTCGGTGGGGAGTAGATGTGGAGGAGGTCCCAATGGGAAAAGCCTTTTGAAGTTTTTTTTTTTTTTTTTTTGAGGGTAGGCACGAGATATCTTTGTCTCTCTCTCTCTCTCTCTCTCTTTGTCCTCCATTACTCTTCTCAAAACTTTTCTTTTTCTTTTGTTTTGGACGGGAAGGATTTGGTTTAATTTGCCAAGGTAAGGTTCTTGTTTTTGTTTTTTGAACGCAACAGTCAATGGCCGAGGAATTATTGGGGACGTTTAATATGCGATTGGTGTCAACTCCATTTGGCATCAACGGGCTGGAGCGTTACACGGGTCCTTTGAATCTGAAAAAAACAAAGTTGATTCAGCCTTTGAATTTGGATAAACCTGTGATTGCCGCGGGCACTCGCGGAGTACAGAATTTGGCTGGAAAGGGAAGACAGTATGCCTCCGATAATGAAAAGCCTCTTGTTATGATTTCTTTGCATCACAAGGGGAAACTGCTTGTTTGGGACGCCGACACAGTGCAGCCGCTGGCTATCTGTAGTCACCATGACTGCTCTGTTGTTCAGTGCGTTGTCACGGCAACTTATCTATATGCGAGGGTGGAGAAAGAGGGAGACAACACGGATGTAGAAACAATGGTGTACGTTTGGGATGCTAAAACGTTTGAACTTTTTCGTCGGCTTTCATCTCACGATGGACGTGTAACATCTATTGCAGTAAGTGACGAGGATGATGCAAAGGTGGCAACTGCCAGTGTAGATCAGTTCGTGCATGTTTGGGATCTTAAAAAAACTCTCACGGGACCAATTCAAAAATTGGCGACGAACGGTATGGCTGTGGTATCTCTGTACTTCCATGGGATGATCCTGGGGAGTTCATCGCACACCTCACTAATTCTGTGGAGGGCAGAAACAGGAGAGTCGTTGCTGAAGCACAAAGT